TCTTTAACTAGGCATGGTAGCACACACCTTTAAATCCAACACTTGAGAAGCAGAGGCAGGCAGATCTATGTGAATTCGGGCCAGAATGGTCTACGAATCGAGCTTCAGGACAGCCAGGACCGTTACACAGAAAACCCCTGTCTCAAAAAAACAAAAAAGCAAAATAAAAAGCTTAAATATTAAGACAGTAAGAAAGTAAGTTCACAACCTAATTTAACCTTATCACCTCAAAACTGCTAAATGGATAGTTCCAGGTCTGCGTAAAAAGTGGCAGCTAAAGGCGGGCAGTGGTGGTACACACCTTTAGTCCCAGCACTTGGGAGGAAGAGGTAGGTGGATCCATGAGTTTGAGGTCAGCCTGGTCTACAGAGTGAGTTCCAGGACAGCCAGGACTAAACAGTGAAAACCTGTCTCAACCAAAAAAGGAAGCAGTCACATGGAAAGGATGTACTCTATAGGCTTCTTGGAGTAGGTAACACTTCTTTTCCTGATTACCAACTGACAGAAAATATCAATCTCTCAAACCAAAACTACACGATGCATCACAAACCCTAAACAAATTAATTCTGGTTTAATAACTATTATTAAATAAATCTAATAATTTTGACAAAATTAATGTATTAGGGTGCTGGGCAAGAACCCAAAAAAACTGCAAAATTAAAAGCCAAAACACAAACAAGAAGCACTTGAATATAAGTAATAAATATGGCAATTTGGCCATTTTGTTTTAACCAAAATTCTATGACTCATACTGACTTTCAGGTGTAAAGGAGTGAAAGCAATATGACAGAAGATCTACAATAACCAGAAAGTTCAAATACTGCAACAACTTATAGCCCTCTTGGCCATTTGGAAACAGTCCACAATGGCACTGACTGTCGTCCTACTATGGGCATCAGGAAGTATTCAAAGTATCCTGAGCACTTAGAAGAACTCAAGAGACTGCAAAAATCCCACTAGATGGCACCATCACAGGCTATCACTCTGCTCTCTCTGGAGCAGCAAGGGCGGAAACCTTTCTTGATCTTAACAAACTGAAAGCTATGAACAACAGTGACATCCTAACTGGGAAAGCACGACCCATAACAAGTTGTGTAAAACCAGGAAGTCTCACCAAAAGCCTCCTTTTTACCCAATCCCACTGCCTCATTTCAACCAATGACCTAAGAGATATAATGTCTAGCCCTAACCCTCATAGGAAGAGAAGCAGTAAACGAAAGTGCTATCTTTGCTGGATGTGGGGCCTCCTCTTGTAATCCCAGCACTTGAAGGCAGTAAGGGCAAGAGAATCAGGAGTTCAAGGTCATGCTCAACTACACAGGCCACCCTCAACTACATACTCTCAAAAAATGTTCTATTTAAAAAAAAGTTATCTTGTCCTCTTCCTGTCTCTGCAAACAATGAAAGAAAAGAGACTTTTCTTTCAAGTCTCTTTGCTACAAAAATCAACTGTTTTCTGATCACTAAATAATCAGTAATTATTGTACTGTATAATACAGTAATATATCAGTAATAAATGTACTCACCGTGACAGACATGTCAAAATATATAATTAATGACATAAAAGCAACTAAGTACTGATGAACTTCCTATCAAACAGATACAATATGGAATGTTTTTTTGAGGTTTTGGGTTTTTGTCTGTTCTCTAGGACAGGGTCTTACCATGTAGTCCAGGCCTGCTTCAAACTTGTGATCTTACTACCTCAGCTTCCCAAGTGTACATAAAAGTTTTCCCACAACTTGTTTATATGATTTTAATTGAGGTCCGGGAAGTAAAATCAAGATGTCATTCATTCCCATCAAAGGTAAACTTTGATATAACCATTATGCAGCTACACATAAAAGGAAAGAAGCCGGCTTTAATCCCAGCACTCGGAGGCAGAGGCAGGTGGATCTCTGTGAGTTCGAGGCCAGCCTGGTCTACAAGAGCTAGTTCCAGGACAGGTTCTAAAGCTACAGAGAAATCCTGTCTCAAAAAACAAAACAAAACAAACAAACAAAAAAAAGTCATCCCATCCCAACAAAGATTAGTAAAAAACTAAACTACACAAAGTTTAAATACAAACTTTCTTAGTAGAAAACCATGTGAATAGATTTAATTATGAGCCTTAACTGAACACAACTATAATCCCAGCACTTGAGAGAGACAAGAGGACCCTGAGTTTGAGACTAGCCCGAACTGAGTTTCAGGCCAATCTAGGTTGTACAGTAAGATCCTGTTTCCAAAAAAATAAAAATAAATAAATATGATAGATAAATAAATAAATGACATGAGTTAAAAGGCAGAACAGTAAGGAGCTGGAGAGATGACTCAATGGGTAAGTACACTTGCTGCTTTTCCAGAAGATCCAGGTTCAATTCTCAGCACTCACACGGCAGCTCACAAATGTCTGTAATTCTAGTTATAGGGGATCCAACACCCTCATCCAGACATACATTTAGGCAAGATACCAATGTATACTAAGAAAGAAAGAAAGAAAGAAAGAAAGAAAGAAAGAAAGACAGACAGACAGACAGACAGACAGACAGACAGACAGACACACACACACACACAACAGTGTAATCCCAGACCTCAAGATGCTAAGGCAGGAAGATCGTTCAAGCCTGAGCTACAGAGTAAGTTAAAAACAGCTGGCTAGCTGTACTGACACACGCCTTTAATCCCATACCTGGGAAGCAGGGCTGCAAAATGAGACCATCTCAAAAAACACCACCACCAAAAAAACCCCAAAGGACTAGAGACACAATTCAATGGTAAGGTGCTTCCCTAGCATATACAAGGCCCTAGGTTTGATCCTTTATACCACAAAAATCAATCAATCCATCAACAATTATAAACAAGTCCTAGTATGGTCACTCATATAGTCCCAGGACCCAGAAAACTGAGATAGGAAGATCAATAAGAGTGCTAGGTCAGGAAAAATAAATGTGTCATCATTGGCCCAGATATAAACTTAATATTCAACTAATACTGTGTACTTCTTTCTGAGGCCACTTCCCTTTGAATAAATAATTTATGTCTGCAAGTTCATCTTCAGTATGTAACAATCAGGGGTTTAGCCACTCCAAAGTGCCACCAAAAGTCAGTTACTAGAGTAGCTGAAGACTAAGTATTCAAGCACATAATTCCAGCCAGGTAGAGTGATACATGCTTGTATCCCAGTGCTTACCAGCCTGAGGTAGCCTATAATCTTGCCTACCCATCTTAAAAACAAAACAAAAACTAAAAGAAGGACCACTAAAGCTGGAAGTGGCGGCTCATCCATGGGTGGCTCCCAGTACTTGAGAGAGGGAAGCAAGAAAATCAAAGAGTTCAAGGCTAGCCTGAGCTGCATAGCAAGTTCCAGGCCAGGCTAGGCTACATGAGACCTTATCTCAAAAACCAAGATTTATCAGCTATAAAGGTAACAAATCCTGTGCTTCCTTATTAGAGCTCTAATATAGGTCTCGTTGCAGTATTTCTTAGTTCTCTTCCCTTCTCTGCAGGTTTAAAGGCACCACACTGAGATCACCCACAACACCTGTACAATGCCCAGTATACAACAGGTACTATGTGCTTTTCAAATAAGTAAAAACTACCAAACTATCCCTCACTAAAATTGGTGATCCATCAAAGTTAGATTTTCCAAGTATAAACCTAGCATACACGTTCTTGTTGCAGAAACAACTGGCGGGCTGGAGAGATGGCTCAGCGGTTAAAAGCACTGCCTGCTCTTCCAAAGGTCTTGAGTTCAATTCCCAGCAACCACATGGTGGCTCATAACCATCTGTAATGAGGTCTGGTGCCCTCTTCTGGCCTTCAGGCATACACATAGAGAGAATATTGTATACATAATAAATAAATATTAACAACAACAACAACAAAAAAGAAACAACTGGCCAGAGAATGAAACTAACGACAAGTTACTTTAAAAAGACAGAAATCAATTACATAGATCAGAGATTAAAATGCACATATCACTTATTTCAAGCTCAAGTAAAATGACAACCTTGGATCGAGTGAAGCTTTTAAAGAAAACATTATAAACAGACATATATAACTCACTAAACCCATCCTGTGAGAACAGAGGGGTAAATAAGCAGGTAATAAAGATACACAGAAAGCCAGAATAGTGGGAGCGACATTCCACCTGCCCAATGATATGGGCTTGATCTCAGTTTACACTTCCACAAGAACGAAAGTAGTAGGAACCAGATAGACAGTGCGGCAGGTAAACACTGTGCTCTTCCAGAGGACCAGGTTCAAGTACCAGGACCACATGGCAGTTCACACCCCTCTAAACTTATTTCAGCACATGTGATGCCCTCTTCTAGCCTCTGCAGGCGCCAAACATGCATGCACATGCATGCAGGCAAGCACTCATATAGATAAAAAAACAAATTAAAAGGATGAAAACACTTTACTAGTAGAAATTAAGGAGAGTGAAAAAGCAGTCTAAGGAAAGAATCAGGAGGAATCTGCTAGTTGCAGACTTGGAGAACTGACAGATTTCACCAGATTCAACAGCACTCTGTATGTAACCCCAACAGACCCCGTGTGTGAAGATCCAACACCAATTTGTATGTAACCCCGAAAACCCCGTGTGTGAAGATCCAACACCAATCCATATGTAACCCCGACAGACCCCGTGTGTGAAGATCCAACAGCACTCTGTATGTAACCCCAAAAGACCCAGTAGGTGAAAGATTTACAATGACTTTCTTCCTGAATGACTGCGAAATTTTAACAAAACACAGAAGAGACTCTAGACCTACATCCGACCAGTATCCTTGCAACAAGTCCCTCAGGAAGCCTCCGCTCCATTCAAAGGGGAAAGAAGCATACTCTCCCTAACTAACCCTTAAGTACTATAGGAATGATTGGCAAAATTTCAAAGTTCACTGGTCCACGAAACAAATCTCTCCTTGTAACTAGCATGTCCTGCCACCCAAACCTTCTATTCCATTCCTAAATGTGTCCAAGCCGTACTGTGAATGTCCGTCTTTGCCAGTACTCACCTTACTAACGCCAACTCCAGTGAACCTGGCCTCCAGTAATTCCTGCCTTCGTGGGTCCAGGCTATGCAATTCTTCCATCATTTCTACAGAAGGAAAGAGGGTCAAGAAGTCATGAAAAACTAACTGGAAGAAAAAGTTTCATGTGTAAGAAAACACACAGGAGTTAGTAAACCTCCAAGAAACAGACATTAGAGTGTTATATTCATCAAAGTTATTTGACGTTACCAATAGTTATTTTAGCTTACATAGCAACTCAAGCCCTCTTCTATGAGGGCCTTTTCTTTTTCCTGAATTTCTAGTTTGATCTTTACTTGGGGAGAGAGACCCATTTCCACCCTTGTAATCCCAACATGAAGGAGGTATAAACAGCAGACAGCCATAAATTTGAGGACAGCCTGGTCTGCCAGAAATTCACAATGAGACCATGTCTCATAAATAAAAACTAGGTAAATAAGAAGAAACAGCAAACTATCTCTGCAAAAGGTAAGCGGAGGGGAAAGAAAGGCAAAGCTGCACACAGCCGCTCTTTCTACCAGCCTTCCATCTAAGTGCTTTCAGACATTTCTCTCCCAAACACATAAGAACTAGTTCTTAAGCTAAAAATATGATTCATTAATAATTTCAAATGAATACAGAATGAATCAGAAGCTGCAAATAACTTCAAGTAACCCTACTGCATAGCCCCTTTCCCTGACAGCTCACAGGAGCTAATGAACTGGAATTTGCTCATTTTAAAGTTAATGAAGAACCCAAGATAAACCGTCAACCTACATTCACTCAGGAAATTAATATTAACGCTGCAACAATTCCTTCGCAAAATCTTTTTTTCTGACCACTCCTTGAAGCAGTAGGTTTCTCTCCACTCTGGATGTCTGCTTTTAGCACTCCTCCCAGGCAGGGAGGGGCAGGACGACACCATTTTTAAACTCCTTCCCCGACCAATTAAAGCAGACACTCGGAGCCAGTCCGGCCAACCTTTGGAAGAGCGAACTCTTGCACCATGCACCGCAAAGCTCTTCAATGTAAAACGTGGGGACCATCATGTCATAGAAACCCTTCGACCACACCACCGACTGTGTTCGACTGGCATAATTTTTAAAGTTCACCGAAGACATGAATCAAACCTCCTCTGCAATCTAATAACTCCACAATTTCCAGTAACATCCCCTCCATAAGTCCTAACTTTCATTTCCCTTCCTGGACTGAGAGAGCCCGGGGCAAAGGGTGACAAAGTTTCACTCACACATAACAAGTACTGGTTGGAGAAGGAATTAGGACATTGTTAGAAGGGCAGAAAGGCATCTTTAAAGTGAAAAAGACTAGAAAGAAAACTGAGTTTTCCCTAAGTAGGTAAGTGGCCTTGCTCGCCACTCGCCCTGCCCCAATCGAGGTCGGAACGGCAGAGGTTGCAGTCTCTCCCCAATCCCAAGGTCTCTGGAAACATTTCCCAAGCCTCCATCCCCAGGCCTGGTCCGGAAAAGGAGGCCCCAGCAGTTATCCCATTTAATGTCAACTCATGTTGAGAAAATCTCCATCCCATCTCTTTCCGGCGAGCCTTGGGACCGGGATCCTCCCAGCAGCCCCAAACCGGGAAGCAGGACCGACGGGGCCTGGTCCAGGCGCCCCTCGTCGGATCCAAACTTTCCCCTAACTCTGGGCCCACCTGTCACGGAGAGATCAGGGGATAGTGTCGGGGGCGCCCGGGAGGCTGCGGAGGCCTCCGGCTCCCCGGAGTCCCTCGGCAGGCCGACCGCCCCATTCCCAGGCCTGGGCCTGGCCCATCTTCGACCCGGCCCCTCCGCGACCCGCAGCCCTCGGGGAGCGCCTCCCGGCGCCTGGCCCAGGCC